CCAAGTCCACCAAGTGCATAGGTGAATTATGTGTGCAAACAAACTCAAAAGATCATGCCCTGCACATGGGAGAAGGTGGATTGTCAACGTCGCTCAGGTTGAACGACTTTCTTCACATAATGGGCTGCTCATACGGATCTTGCTTGACTCATGCTACACCAGCCTCCCTCACATGCAATTGCGGTGCCTCAAAAAGCAATCGGAGCCCATGTTGAAGATTCTGTCAATTGTTTTGTGAAAACAGGAAGGCATGAGGAAGAATGATGAGGTAAAATCTAATGTATGCTTGTCCCATGTCAGGGAATGAGCTGGTGCACTCTGAGGCGTTCGGAGTAAGGGTCTCGTGAGTGTGTGAGGGGGTCCATGTGGTTAAAAAGTCCACTCTCGTTCGATGGAAGGAAAAAAAGGGATGCATATTAGATTGTAAATTTCCGGACATGCAAAACCCACGTATGTAACCTAAAACAGAGAAAAGAGAAGGGCTTGAATATGTTGGGAGAGAGAGGGCCCACAAGCTTCCACAATCAAAAGTGAAGCATGAACATAAATCTAAAGGGTATACAAAGGGGGAGTGTGCAACATTGTGTTCGATACAAGCATTATCGTAGAAGCATGACATCAACAGTGTTGGAGGCAACTATGCTTGCCCTCTTTCTTGTCCCAACAGTCCAGTGGAGTTGAGTAATCGGTTCGATTTGATGAGATGTGGGGATGGAACTGAGCGAGTATTTTATTGAAAGAATGAAATAATATGGTCGATCGTCTCTTTAAGAGTTTGTGAGATGAACGTTCCCCATCATCTTATCACCATGCAATGAGATTTTGGAAAAGAGAAGCGTGGCAAGCGCTAGAAAAGCGCTCAGTAGTCTTCTTGCCAAATCGAAGTCCACGTTTGGCTCTGTCATAAAAAGGCAAGCAGGCATGCGGAAGCAAGGAAGGGAAAGGCTATGGTGGGAGGAGGGCGAGGAAAGGAGCTATGTCCGTGTACTTAGTTGGCCATATAGAGTCGACTAGACTTGTGAAATAGGCTAAATTGGAAAGAGAACAAGTAATGTAGCAAAAAGGATGTGGTGGCTAAATTGGAAAGTCACTTCTGACTTTGCTCGATCATGTTCTCAGAGACAGATAGTCCGACGGACGGACCTACATAAGCAGCCACAGCAAGCTAGACACAGTAGCATGCTTGGCCAAAGAAGAGAAATCCGATTCCTATCGCAATGGCGATTCTGTTTGGTGGTGATTTGACCTTAAGCAGGAAAGGACTTGCAGTTGCATGTGCGCAATTAGCCAATTAGATCAGCAGGAGAGCCTTAGAGGGCCAAAATGGCAGTCTCTCTCTCTCTCTCTCTCCTTCTGTGTCTGTCTGTCTGCCTGCCTGCATCTGCCTGTCTGTCTGTCTCTCGGTGTGAGCATTGAGGATTCAAAAGTTGCAGTCAATAACAGTGGACATGATTCCACTTGGGATGGATGCTGGATGTAATAATGTGGGAGATTTGAATCCATGAGAATACGGGCAACGATGAGCGTTGTAACCTCTAACTGCACATGTAGTCCTTCACTCGTCATCCACGCTAACTCAATCACTCGATCGTCATGGATCCGCATCAGACCGATCTTCTCGCCTGGCCTGCCTGATGGATAGATTCCCAGGAGATAAGCAGGTGGGTTGGGTTCGGAAGGGGTTGGGCTCACAAACAGGAGGAGGAGGGAAGGTGGAAAGAGCAAATCTCTACGGACCTTGGTGGCACCTTGTGAAGTAGATCATTTTGGCCTGGTTGTTCAACTGTAACCTTGATAGCAAGAGTGGGAGAAATTAATGAAAAGGTCACAATCATCTCCAAACGTTTAAATTGAATTGAATGAATTCAACCTTACAATCTTAAGACTTCCAGAACTAGTAGACAATTTATGAATGGCTGGGGCAGGGCAGGGCAGGTTCATTTTTTATCTTTCACTCTGGTGTGTCTGGGAAGCTTTCACTCCCATAGATACTCAAAGATTGTACATCATTGCCTCCTGCGTCTGCCAAAGGAGGAGGGAAAACGCTGTGAGACAAAATCTCAAGCCACCTTGAAGAAAGCACCGAAAGAAATTATACAGGCAGTTGAACTGCTCTCCTTGACAGCCAAGAATGCGAAGAAATTTAATGAAAAGGTCACAACTATCTTCAAGGCTTTGGTTTGAACCAAACCTTAACAAAGCTTTTGCTGTAGTTGCCGATACATGAATTGGCAGCAGCTCATTCAACTTTCGATCCTTTTCAGATATAATAAAGTATATAACTCTTAGGGGGCTTTTTGCAGGGCGAGCTGGAACTTAGTAGATAGTCACCAAAAAAAGAAAAGAAAAAAAAGGGGAAAAACCCCACATCCCACCCCTCGGAACTTAGTCCTGGACCCAATCCAATCCGGTCAATTCTTACTTTCCTCCCCATCGGTCAGATAGCAAAAGGATCCGTCTTGTGATCCAGCAAGCAAAGCAAAGCACAGCACAGCCAGCAAGCGAGCAAGCGATGCCGAAGAAGACAGACGACACTCCACGATTCCTCTTGTGCTACAGTACAAAGAACAGTTGTGTGTGTACAATTATGTGCAATCTCTTTCTTCTGCCAACTATTATTCACGCCCACCAAGAGGTCGAACGGACTCGGACTCGAACTCCAACCCCAACTCCGGACACGCCCTCTCACCCCGGCCCGATCGCAGTACAGTAGAACTACGTCGCTCGAGGTCCGAGGAAGGGCACGGGACGGTTTCGGGATGGCATGGCATCCCATGCCATGCCCTCCCGAAACCCCTATTATTGTGCTCACGCGTAGTTTCGCAAGTCCGGGGCATGCATGCATGCATAACATGGGCGAGGAGGTCACGTGGCGTGCCCACGCGTGTGATGCAGACCACGTGCGAGCGGGGGTGGACTACGTGACTGGGTCACAATACATGTCCTACAGTAGCCATACAACTAAGCAACTGCAGGCAGCCCGTAGTCAGACTCAGAAGTCCCTCGGGCGGGGCTGGCTGGCAGGCTCGGCTTCACCATGCCTACTGCACCCTGCAGCTCCTCTGTTGTGCGTCAGCCGCAATACCCTCCCACGTCGCGTCTTGCTCGACGACTCTGAACGAGGCATATACTTGTACGCCGACGTCAACAGCGTCGTCGACGTCTGTTTGTTTGTTTAGCGGAAAGCTTGCAGTTGCATACGCCGAGTTGGCGTGCTTCGGTTTTGGAGGCTACTTGACCTTGAGCTTCGACGATATCGTACTCCACTCGAAACCAGAGCGAAAAGTTCAACGACCGAGACGGGAAAAGAGACGAGGTTCAAGGTCATTGAACACGTTTGGCTTTGGAATTCTCCATTCTATTCTCTGCGCGGTGCCTGGCAAGTTGGTCTTCCTTGCTTTTTTGACCAACTTGTTGACAGCACACTTAACAAACGAAAGTGCGCAGAAAGAATTCAGAAGAGGGAAGCGCTAAGCTACACATTGGAAGAGTAGCAGCTACTTACTGACCATAGCTGAGCCTACGCGTTCTGAGAGGAAGGCTCGCTCGGACGAAATACTTCAGGCCGAGATTGCAGCGCCAGGTCTCCGGTGTCTAACGGAGCGGCAAACCCTAACTGCGAATGGTGCCGCATATTGCTTTCTCCGTCGATGCAAAGGCTCCTGCTGCCGCCCATGCTGACAGAATAGAAGTCCTGAATGGTCTGTCTCCTTCCGCGTGCGTCTGTCGGTTTAGGCCTTCCTGCACTGCGGTACAACAAGTTGTAGTGTACAATATTGTCACGTTGGGACATAACAGTATAGTAGTCGAATCTCTCCACTGTGGGGGTCCGTATGAGGATTTGGTGTCGTATAAATCTGCGCGTTACGGTACCGTGGCATGCTGTCATATTAAGATGTCAACCGAATCATCTGACATGGAGCCAAGCTCTCCGACACGGCACAAGCAAGAGAAGAAACATCGCAGTCGTGCCTTGTATGACTGGGCTTGAAGCGATGGCCATGAAATGCCGGCCTGGAAAGTTGGGAAATTTGCCTTGAATGACGACTCGAACGACACACAGTAGACGCAGATGTGAATGAATGTCGCACGAATTCAGTCCTGTGGAAAAGACTTTCTGTCGCGTGTATCCGGCGCGTCTCCCAGGCCCGGATCGGAAAGCTGTGTACCGTTATGACCGCGGCCCGACCCTCCTCGCTTGGTGAGCATGGGGCTGTGTAGGGTTGGGTGGCCGAGCTAAGCCGGCGGAAGCGCAGGCTCTAAATCCCGGGTCGACGGTATAAATAACTAGTCGTGGTTTTTAACAGTGTGCGATACGGCCCGGTGCCCGCCCGAGACAGGACTCGGGTTCGTGTTTGGGCGGATGCCGAGAGAAAGAAAGCCCGTCCGTCAGTCACAGGCTAACCGGGCGAATGCTAAGATCAGCCCCCGATAGCTCCACAATGGCCGTGGAGAACCGGGGTAGGGAGGTGGAAATATCCGAAGGAAGGACAAATGCTGGGTCCATGAGCCGTTCAATTTGAAAGAAATGAAGCTGACTGACAGTTCTACTGGGAAAGTACCGGTGCTTGGACGGACGAAAGCAGGAGGAGGGGAGGGAGAGAGGGAGAGAGAATAGCAGGGCCTATTGCAGATCAACATTCAGTCATTTATGGGCTTTGTCCTGGACGTGAGATGCTGAGCGGCCAGTGTTGGCACTAGAGCTACAGTGGCCACACGAGTGATATTTTATGATTTTCCTTCTCAAAAGACGAGATCTCTTCTGTAGATCATTTCGTTGTCCAGGGTGAAAAAAAAGAACTATATCCAGATCAGACATTGAGGATTCCAACACCCGCGTAGTTAATGCTAAGTAAGATTTGTCTCTAAGTCATAAGTGCAACACTGAGATGAGAGAGAAAATTTGGAGTGGTCACTAGACAAGAACACGCATTTCGCACTGACCATCATCATGACCTCAGAATTTGCTCAAGTTCATGGAAGGCTTTGAGCCTTGGACCCTTTCGGAAGTCAACAATGCCTCATAAGTGACGGTAGAATGTCGTGTTAGTTACAAGTCACAAGGTCTTCATTTCCTAATTTCGTAAAGTGTCATGATTGGCTTATAAACGCCCGTAGAAAATCTACATGTGTATTCGCGTATATTAAAAATATACCTGCTATCGAGAAGGCCTCCGGCACCACCGAGGCATGCCTTCCCTTCGTTTTAAATAGTCTCTGTGTATATGAGGTCGATCGACAGGTTCTACTTTCTCTCACTACTACTACTACTGGCAATTTGCATTCGAACCTCGTTTGCCAACCTAATGAACAGCATGGGTAGGCATTCATTGCTCCTCCTTCGGATAGTATCTGCACAGGAAAGCTAAACGGAATAAATTAACTGTACTTCGCTGCGGGAATTTTCATCCTCGGACCGACCAGAGGAACTCATGAATTGCATATCTATATGATCTGATAAGGCTAAATTCTCAGTTATAGAAAGTTTAAGTATGTAGGTTGTAATCATGCATCAGGGAGGGAGCCGAAGGTTGGGAGAGAAGGACTAGGAATGTAGAAAAAGCAGGCTGGAGCAGAAGCAAGGATGCATGCAGGATTGCGAAAAGGGCCAAAGGCTCCGATACTGCAAGATGCTCAGCTAGTGTCATTAAGTTTAGGCATGTACTTACGAGTGCATAAAGGCTGGAAGGTGCTAACAATAAAGAAATGATCCATCAGCCTATGCTGGCAATCAAAAGTCGCCCATTTCCAGGTACAAGCCGGCAGCTGAGCTCTACAGTAAGCGCTATCAAGAACACAGCCAGCACAAGGGACTCGCGAGACACAGAGAGCACACCTTTCGAAGACAATCTGCTACAGAGATCAAGCTGGTGTACACCAGTCGAATCTCTCCCACCAAAATTGGCTCTTAATTGTTCCCTCCAGATGTAATGGAACACTACTACCCACCGCATGTGCAATAGTGTTTGCGAAACTGAAGACTGTTCGTTCCAGCTAGCTAGCGCAGCTCGAGATTTGGCGATTGGATCCTTTCCTTCTCTCTCTTGCACTGTAGAGGAGACAACCAGACTGACTAGATTAGCAGCCCCTCGAGAAATTCGCCTTTCCAGGTTGGGGGCAGTTCGTCCTTCTTTCCTTCCAAATTATTGAAAGCGGCAAAGAGTTCTTCCCATTATTGTTGTCTCATATCGACTTCGCTTTGCGCGCGGGCGGTCGGCTGCGAGGCCCCCTCCTTCCCTCCTTCGCTCTCTCCCTCGCGAGTCCAGATCATTCTCATGACGAAGTCGTATTATTCGAACAGAGGGTAAATCATCTTTTCGTGCGCCGCCATCTTATCAGAGAGAAAAGAGCAAAGTGTTGCCGCAACGAGGACCAATCCAGCGGAGCCAAGAGCATCCATCCAGCAGCTCCCGTAGATCGAGAGCGCGCCCGAGCCCCGTGCGTATGTATGTTGCTCGCTGTAGTTCCTAGATTCATTCATGGTCAACCACATTGACCATGGCCTTCGATACTTTATAGATAAGCCGGGCGGGCGCCCACGTGGTTATGAAATCCATACCCGGTTCTCGGGCGCTCCAAGCAAGACAAATCTCTGCTCCTTTCGATCTTGTGCCCGCTGGCCCGCCCGCCCGCCCGCCCGCCCGCGCAGGCAGGCAGGCAGGCAGGCAGCGTGCATGTCTAGAACGAGTCTACATACGACATCGACGATGGACATCTACGTCTAACTGCCGAGATTGCCTACAGCAGGTACTCCTCATGCGCTCCCATACAGCACCACCGGGTGCAGGGAGATTAGCAGTGCACTGTCCGGTGCAGAAAGGAAGGCTGTCGCCGAGAATTCGACAAAGGCAAGGCGGGGAGGGGGTCCGGGACGAGGGAGGGAGGGAGGGAGGGAGCCTGGGAGAGAGCTCGACATGCAGTGCAGTTAATAGAATCGCTGGGTGGTGTATGGGATGGACATCAGACAGACTATGAGACAAACGAACCACGACGTCGAACATACAGTTAGGAAAAACTCGGGGGTGGTTATCTGACCTGGGCTCTGCCCGAATTGCCTTGCCTTGCCATGCCTGGCCTGGCCTGGTCTTGCGTCCATCGGTACACAACAGTGTGCTGAATCGAGGGGTGGGGACAGCTTCACAGGGGACTCACGTCTCTGGATCAGTTTTTTGAAACGTAATGTCGCAAGGCAAGGCTCGATCTGCATAGGTCGGCAGGACTTTCAGAACAGGTACGCCAGGACCGAAGTCCACTCTTCCTTGCTTCCGGGGAGCTGGGGCTAGTGTCTAGGCCCTCTTCTGAGCCCGTCACAGGGACACGCTCGTCGCTGTTCACAGCAAGGAACAGTTACAGTCATGAGCACCAGTGCTTTGCAACGCACAAGTTCCAGCTTTATGATCACTCGCAGTACGTACGCGCTCCCAAAACCAGGCTCTCCCAGAATCATTGCGCTCGACCGGGCCTTGCGAGAGGCGATGAATCTCGTGATCCACTCGGTCCCGTTCCATACCCATTTGTTAACCATTACTCTAGGCGTTGGTCGATCTTGACAGACAGTTTCACTCCTACGCAGCCTACAGTGATTCCCTACGCCCTCGCGAGGAAGCTGCTATACCGCCGCTGGATGCGAACTCGGTACGCCTTTCTCACGAATCCATGTAAGATGTGGGCCTGGTTCGACGGCACTGTAGAGAGGCGATGAGTTGGAGAACAATTCCTTTGGACATCAAAAGGGTAAGCGCAATTAAGTTTCTGGACTATTAGTCGCAACACTCCAAAGCATGATGAGACGACTACTTGCGCCGATTAAAGGCGTTCTCGAACCGGGACTCGCATTCTCCTCTATAGAGACAAAGGCTGAATTATTTAGCTGTCACCGTTCTCAACTACGAGTATCGAGATTCGAGACTTTGTTAACAACACACTTCGAGCACAGAGCTTGTAAATATCAACGATGCGTCTGCTTCTGCACACTGGAAGCGTCGAAGGTGTGAACTTGCAAGCACTAATTCAGCCCGCGTCGGTCAGTCCGTCAGTGAGGCAGTTAGTCAGTCGCACTACAGTAGCTTACCATATACTCTACATTCCTCTAGGTTTTGAAACTTGTGGCTTCGACTACTCTACCTCCACCTCCGATTCCCTGTCGTTGTAGGTAGAATTTACAACTAGACACTGCTGCCCTATGTACCTACCGTACGAGCAAAATAATATTATTACCTCTCGAAGACCCCGATGGGGCCGAGCAGCCGGGCGCGAACCTCTCGCACTCGCGGGACCAGATTGCCAGCGTCGGCCGACCGGGAACTTCTGTTGTAGGGAAGATTCCGGCTCGCTGCGTTCTGCCCCTATTAGCAGAAACTATTTACATGACCTTTCGTATGTCCCGACTCTTCGTTAGCTCAGATCGAGAGGATTTGTTCACGGTGTACACGGATAAGGTATTTGGGCTATCAAGGCTTGCCATTTGTTTTGATCGGTCCAGTGCCTGTCTGCACATGTCGGGCGGTCAACTCGACTCGGCAAATTCGACATGGTCGCTACACTGGTCCAGCCAGCGCCGCGGAGTCGTGCGGCGAGGTGTTGGCTGCAGAACTGGAGACGAGAAGATACTTCTAATACTAAGAATGCTTGCTTGCCTGTGAACCCGTTCCAGTCTCGGCGTTGCCAGTCAGGTGAGGGAATGCTGGACATCGTGTAGTGCAGAGCCGGATTTCTCCCCAGTGCACACACAATCACTCATTCACACACACACATCCAGACACTGTCGTCGACTTGGCCAATCAGTCGCACCGCAGCGCAGCGGATGGGAGGGCACTAATAGTGGAAGGAACAGGTAGGAGTCGTATGAGGCCAAGTGGCGGTACCGGTACAGGTACAGGTACCGTATGCGCACATTATCCGCTAGGCACCGCGTGCTTTGGCTGGCGTCTTCTGCGACGGCCCTTGGCCTTTTGTGCGTCGCGTGGGCGCTGCTTGCTGCGAGGAGAGGCGAGGAGAGGAGAGGAGAAGAGAGGAAGACGAAAGAAATGGAAATGTCTGAGAGAGAGAGTCTGAACTACCTCTGGGTCTGTCTGTCAGGACGTGGACAAACACTAGGCCGGGGGGCACCTTTTCGATCGCTATCCATCTATCGAGCGATCGATCTATCCGTCTATCCATCCATCGCTCGCTCTGATAAAGAACCGTTCACGTCCCGTCCCGTCGACGACGACGAAGACGGTGGTGGAAGAAGGAGGCGATCATAAAGAGAGGAGCGGTGTGATTGGCAGAAGCGCTGCACCTCCCGGCCGACGAGGCAACCACGTGTGCAATACACAAACAAACAGGGGGAAACTTGGGCGCGGTTTCGAGCAGCTGAGCTTAACGCGTACTTGTCCGAAAGCGCTCTCTCTCTCTAGAAGGAAGGAAGGAAGGCCGGGCCAGGAGCAGGCCAGGCCAGGGCCAGGGCCAGGAGCAGGAGAAGAAGAAGTACCTGTTGCAAATCTTCTTCTCACAAGCAGGAGCATTGTTGCTTCATGAGAGGTGATGGATGGATGGTCTGGTCGAGCGGCCGGGGACCACCTGGATGAGCCCGGAGCCCCATTGGTGCCTTTCTCGGATTCGCTCAACTAACCCTGAACTTAAAGACACTGTTCTGAGTATTCTGCCAACTCCTCTCCTCCCTCATTGTAGCCCTACGAGCTGCTCTACATCTAGCGTTTTGATTTCCCCACCCGGGTCCAGGCTAGGACGACCGGAATAAAGGCACGCATTGTTAGTTAACCATACCCATTAATGTGCCTTGACTTCTCCTTTTAACCTTTGGGAGAATGTATGCCATGCGACACGTGGGTTCGAGAAGCTGGTCAGCGAATTTTTTTTCCCTGTCACCCTAACATCACTTCACTTCACCTCACCTCCCCTCCCGTCCCCTCCCCGCCCCAGGCTCACCGCGGTTCCCATTTCGTCAAAGTGGGTTGCCGTTTGTTTGACACAGTTAACGCCAAGTACAAACTGCCTGGCTTGCTTTCTCGCCTGCCGGCCTGCGCGCCTTGCCTGCCTGCCTGCCTGCCTGCCTGCCTGCCTGCTGCCTGGGCCTGACCGTGGCCCTGGGCTGGCCGGGCCTGGAGTAGCCTGCCCCTGCCGGTGCTCGCTCTCTGGGTGACGATGCCCGCTGACGGGTTAGATTCATGGGGAACACACTCGTGCCTGCTGCTGCTACCTGATGAAGGAGAAGCTGAACGATGATGGGTGGATTAATGTTCGAAAGGGTATCGTAACTTCTTCGTAGCGTGCACGCTGATGAATAAAGAGATGACCGGGTCAGCCTAGCTTAGGTCCGAGGGAGCGAGCGCGAGGGAGCGAGGGAGCGAGGGAGCGAGGGAGACTGAGAGGGAGGGAGTGGGAGAGACGGAGGGAGAGTGCACTCACTGACTGACCTTTCGGTTTGGCCCCACGGACGACGATGACGACAGGGGTTGATGTTGCAGGATTTTCTTTGGTTGGTTGGACGAGTTAAACATGTGAGTCAGTGAATGTGAAGGTGTTAAGAGAGAGAGAGAGAGAGAAAGAGAGAGGGATGGAGAGAGAGAGAGAGGAGTGTGTGTTCCACTGTACACAAATTCATTGCGGTTGTGCGTACTGTTTACATGAAAAATGGTTAATTTGGCTGGCAGGCATTTCTTCCTCGAGAAAGCAAAGGGTACAACTGATTCTGCAGGAGGGATCGAGGGAGGGAGGCGGGGAAGGACCAGGCGCAGTAGAGCACGGGTGGGCAGATTTCAAAATTTTGCATTTGCTGCACTCACTCCTGGAGACGAACTTTCCTTGGGAACCAGATTGTCTTTGTGTACGAGCTCCACGATGGTCAAAAATGTGATCATGCCATGAATTTTCCCCCACCATTACCTACAGTGCGAAAGATGTCCTTCTGATGACATGTAGTGTGGGAGCCTCCTCGGTCACAGAAAAAAACATTCAATTTCATCCTTTTCTTGATTGGTCCAGATTCATGATGTACTCAATGATTCTCAATCGTTGTCTAGCATTTCGAATCAAATCCGTGGTGCTGACTATGCTTGACGATAGTTCTGGGAGCCCCTCCTTCGCTCACGAGAAAGTAATCAATACACTTTTCTTCCTTAATGGGATCTAAATTTATGAAACGGGTCTTATCCTGTGGTTGTGCTGTGGAGCTACGGTAGTTGATGACAATTTGGGAGGGTCTTCCTCGTCGTCATTCAATTCAACCGCTTTCTTTTGTCCCTAATTTATGGAGTTCTCATCCCTTCACTGCAACATTTTGATGACAATAAGGCGAGTTCCCCCTTTGATCAAAAGGTCAATCAATGTAATCCCTTTCTGCCCTACTTCCAAGTTATGCCTCCGGGTGCATTTTCATCTCGTGATGGAATTTGATGGAATTTTGTTCTGATGATAATCAATACCCACCTATTCTTAGATTGAAGGACAAGATGAGATGATCCATCATGGAGAAGAGTACGTCCCAATAAGGATCTCGGTTCACCCTCGACTCATCCTGATCAGGAATGGGGGGTTAGAACTGTACAGCCCTCGAGGCTCGGCTTCCATATACTCGTTGTCGAGTGTCCACATTCATCAGAGATTAAAACACTCATGAGAAGATGCCTGAAGTCTCACCTCTGCATACGTACACGAAAAGCAAGTCTCACTCATTCATTATGTTACACTATTTTGCAGCGTTGTAACCTACTTTCTTAAAAGGGGATGATCAAAATCTTTACAGGACAAGTGTGGAGAAGGACAATGCCAAGAAAGGACGAGAGCAATTCCTCAACCTGTAAGCACAATTCTCAAACAGTAGAACTTGCATGTTATCGCATGAAATTTGCATGCCATATTACCATCCATCTGCCAGCCAAAATCCCCTGGTATAAAATCTGAGGAATATGTCCACACAACTTTCTTCAATAATTTGTCGCTCTCCATTAAGAGTGCCTTCAATAGGAAGAACACACAGTGCTCGAGGGCAGATGGCCACAAAAACTATAAACATATCGTAGCTTTTGAAAACTACACAGTGGATTCGAGATTCCTCGATTTATATGCATGTAATAGGTCTAAAAAAGGTTCGAATTTGAAAGTGAATAAAATTATGTCTATCATGGATGCATTGCTGTCTGTCCAGAGCGATAATGGACAACAATAGAACAGCAAGGATCCGTATTGTAACGATTTCACACTTGCGAAGTGATGGAGATGACATCGACCAGAGGGTTGAGGTTGCATAAAAGCAAGCGTGATAGTAATATAGACACATAAAGATAGTAATAGGTCACCCGGTCAAGGACAATAAAAGTCTTGCTTCGATCTCCGCATGAGGTTTCCTCGCACCAAAATAATTGAATCGGTCAGCTAATAGACATCAAGATATCTATCATAAATTGGACCTCCAAGCATGAGGAACTTGTTGACCCGACAGGCATACATGGGAGAATCTCCTTTCTAATTCCGTGAGTGGGTGTGGTGCAAGATGACAGCATCGCTTTCTTTCAGCTGTTGGTGTAGGCACGTTAAGGTTATAACATATTTCTGCAAGGTCCTCGGGCCTACACACTTCATTTTTGAGCTGTGATAATAGTTTCCTGTCCTGGGATGTAGACTCAAGAAATTCATTGTGATAATGTCAACAGGGCCCTCTCTCGCCTTCTTAAGTGACGTTAAGGAATCAGAAGGACGTGTTACTTTGCGTGCAACTGATGACCTATAGAAGAGCAAGAGAGTCCGTTCGATCCATGTATCCCCGACGAGAATGCATCCACGGGACACATGCACATCCTTCGAGGGTGTTGATATTTCCATCTGTGTCTGAGAGTTGGACTTACGACCCAATAACGCCAATCAAAGAACTCTTATGGATTATTTAGGCAAAAAGTAAACGAGCGAGCACAGCACAGAACCCAGGCACTAGATGGAAGACGTAAGAACACATGTCATGTGAAACAACATTGCGATATATTCTGAGAAAGAGATGTACTTTCTTGCACAAGTCTCCAATCACAGTATTCATGTAGTTGTTGAAGCTCGAAGGTCGGTGAAGTCAATCGCATCACATCAACTACTTGAGTCAATCGCATCCGATCAAAAGACTGATTGACTCAAACTTGCAACCATTTGGAAAAAGACTGAGGACTCAAACTTGCAACCAATTTGAAAAAAGACTGATGGATTCAAGCTTGCAACAAAAATGAAAAAAAGAATGAATGAAAAAGACTGATGGACTCAAAGTTGCAGCCATTATTCCAAAAGACTGATTGACTCAAACTTGCAACCATTTTTCGCCTTATGATTGAGGATTGTGTCCTTGCATAGTCCTACGACATAGACTGAAGGGTTCAGAGAAGAAGCGAACTAACAGTTACGGGGTCGGACATGAAACTCGCGGGGAAAAAATTACAAGGTAAGGAGGAAGAGAGAGGAAGTGAGACCCGTAAGAGAGAGAGAGAGTCCAGCCACGTTCGGTTTAGATATAGACAATTGCTGGTCAAATGCACTACAGTCCACCCTTGTCTTGTCCTGAATTGCCCAGGTATCTTCCGGCAGTACATGCGTACTTTTTGATTCAGCTACACAATAATATTCTTAATTATAAATCGTCATGGATTATTATCGTCCTCACCCAACGCATAAGGCACAGATGAGGTCGACAAATCCTTAAAACCAAATAAAGTCTATCGATGTCGAGTTGAGTTGGAGATTATTCGGAGATACCCCTCCTATATCACCATACAGAGCCATAGGATCTAAAAGATTTAATAGCGGCTGTAAGGAAGCTGCTTCAACAGTATGCTGCGTATAGCTCCGAAAAGTCATGGAGTAGAGTACGAGATTGAGCTGGTGTGAGGTGGGAAGACAAGACAAAGAAAGGAAAGGAAGGGTGAGCAGTAATTTGGTATTCACTGTGGAAGAAGATTGGAGGATAAGAAAAATGCAACAAGTAGTAAAGCCCTCCTTCCGACACGGAATTGAGTAGGATGAGGACTGGACTGCTGAAGGAGAGAGAGGAGGAGGAGAGAGAAGAGGAATGTAATTACAACATTAGTAGGAGCATCAGAGAATGAGAGAGAGAGAGAGAGGATGTGAATAGAGGGTGAGGAGAGAGAAGTCATGAAGTCATTTATTTCATGAATATGGGGCGGGCTGGCTCCACACTGGAGACGGGATTGGACATAACCGTCGTCCTTAAAAGAGCTTAAATTCATGCAGCCTCCTGCCATCGTCGATTTCGGATCCAATCGTTCCTCCTACATATCCCCCTCTTTTTCCGCTTACTTTCTTCCTTTGACGGACGGAAGAAGGACGGAGAGACGGACGAACCTCCCAACATGTAATGTCATGGAAGTAATGTAATGTACCATGCACGAACACTTCCACGCGTCCTCTTCGTCACAGCAATTAAAAAACTGGGTGAAGATACTATTAATTAATTTTTCCTCGTCCCTCCGGAACACCTACCGGCGATCACCTTCTCGGCCGCTGACGGTATCTGCTGACTTCGGTGGCACTCACCGGGGAATGCTCGTCGAATTCCCGTCGATTTCATCTCGGTACACGGTTTGTATACAGCCCCCCGCTAAAGGTCAGCTGACGTAACTGTGCACGGTGAATCCCATTAAAACGGCCAGTCTGATCTACATCGGCAGGCCTGCGAGCGGGCGGGCGGGCGATCTCCCTTTTAACGTGCTCTCCTCGCTCCTCGCTCCTCGCTCCTCGCGTTAGTCAGTCCAGTCCGAGGCTGCAGTTTAGGGAGAGCTTAACTACGACGGTAATCAAATCAGTTTTAGCCTCGTGAAAGAGTAGTCCCCGAGAGTACAGTAGTTCTGTTCGAGTGCTAGGCGTGAGACCTGTCTGTGACGACGGCCATCCATCCTTTGTAAATGACGGCCGCACGGTCGCCGTCCTTTTAGGGCTATGGCGCGGGGATGTCTAGTATATAGTTTCGCTCGTCTGATACAATCCCCCGCCTTCTTTCTCTCTCTGTGCCTTTCGTCGGAGATATGTGGCTTCTGAGGGGAGGGCACTAAGCAAGGAACGCTGGTGCTGCTTTGCCTGGCAAGCAGCAGCAGCAGGCGAGGGGAGGGGAGGGAGGTGAGTGGAGAGGAGAGGAGAGGAGGGAAGGGAAGGAGAGCTCTAGAGCTTCTCCTCCTCCCCTTTCTCCTCTCGGCAGAGTCGAATTGAGTTGAGTTGGAGGGGAAAAGGGTTGCAAGTCTTTCTAGAACGCTACTCCACTCCATCATCCGCGTCTTCTTTCTTCCTTCTTCTTCTTCTTCTTCTTTTCCTCCTCTCAGCACATCACTACTGCTGCGTTCCTCCCTCTATGGCTTGTCCGTCTGTCTGTAGAATCGGAGCTTCCTTTGCTGCCTCTCTCTCTCTCTCTCTCTCTCTCTCTCTCTCTCTCTCTCATTTTCTCATTCTCGGTCCCTTCTCAAACACGAACTGCCTCAGAGATGAAGCCTGTATACAGCACTGCAGGTTTGGTTGGCTGATTTGGCGCGCCTCGCAGATTATTTCCAGCGTGTGCTGCCTTGCCTTGCCTTGCCTTCGTCGTGGTCTCCGGTGGACTGCCGCGCGATCCGAGGTCCGAGGTCACTGGCGATTCCGCACACCACACATGGGCAGTGGACGTCCGTTGGGCCAGGCCTGTTTGTTGGATGCTTTTGTGCTCATATGTGATAGATCCAGGGCCCGAAAGTGAGGTATTGTCGCGTTATCTAACTGCCACGCATTTCTCCTGCACCTGGTGCGCGATAATTGCCTCAGGAGATCGATCAGAAGGTCTCTGCTAACAACATCGGGTGTGCGTAGCACGTTGCCCTTCCCACGCGATATTGTTCAGGTTCGAAAAATCCCCCTCTATCGATCAAGTCGAGCGTGGATAAATGGAGAAACCCAAGCTACCACTCCGGAGCAGATCATAATAAATGAAATGGTTCTGTACGACCCACAGCGACTTAAAGTCTCCGAACAGGGATTGTGCATGAGTTTACACCTGTCTGATCCATTCTGATGTTGTGTGAAATTCTGGAGGTGAAGAACTACGCAACTTGCTGGGACCAACCTCTAGCGCAGCTTTGCTCCGGGTGATTATACCATTGGTATCGCTTGCAAGGCAATTTTTCATTCCCGTGGGGAACTTGGGATCAGAGGTGTTCAGTCATCAGGCTTGCCAATGAGTGCACGGTTCTATGGATGATCATCAATCCAGTTCTTCATGGTTGAGGACAGGTTCGCTCTCATTCGAGTTTGTCTGTTGAGTTCTCAGCGGACGAAATATGGCTGATCTATGCCCCCACCGAGGCGAGCATGGACATTACATTTGATGATGGACCATAGTGGTGTATGTCGTACGAGGGGTGGGAGGCATCAGACCTAGAGCAACCTAAAGCAACCTGCTGGCAATCTTCCCAGGTTTGTGCACTATTCCTGTATGCGCCTGGTTACACCAATCGGCCGCTCTTGTCTCGATGACCCGAGGGGCACGACAATTGGCGAAGTGATAGCACACCATTCCAACTTAAGCCCAATCTCTTCTGGCCGGTTTGTTGATGTAGACCCATATCAAGTTTCCATCACTTTGAACTGCTAGAATGGTTAGAATATGCTTGGAAACGAGAAATTGAAGTCCTCCAATTCTCTCAATTCTCGCTACTTTGTCTGTTGATTCTGACTTGAGGGTTGGTTGCCCAGTTGATAGCCTGGAATGACTCATAGGGTTCCACTCGGGACTACGAGGGCCTCTAGCAGTGGAAGCAAAGCAAAGGAGTTTATTTGGAATATTTACAGCCTCTCGATAATGAGTTGGAACTCAGGTTCATTTGAGAATGAGTGTTGAATTCACTCATGAAAGAGTCTTTGCGTAAGGCACACGGCACCTACATGGATCATTGGAGGCGTTTGCAGCCGCTTCGAGGCCGCAGAGTGAGTGCGGCAGAGCCCCGTTGTGGGGAATGTCGCATGGCCCGAATCCATCTACGGCTCGGCCTTGTGCTGGAGCATGGGGTGAATTCGGACCAGGCTTCATTCCCCTCAGCACGGCTCCTTGCAATTGTCTTGCGCATTCTGGCGGATCCACGTCTTTACACGACATTCTCCAGGCTGCAAGCTTCTGTGCACGTCGGCTGCGCTGCTTCCAAGTTACATCTAGCGGTGGCCAGGTCTTCTCGAGATGCTCGCAGTTCTGTTTCGCTTTATCTCCATATAGAAAATCTCGACAGAAGCTAAGATGTACATTGTGTGTGTAGGTTACTGTCATTCAAATACTGACTATCTTACCACATCATTTGTCCAATCGTTGAAAGTACCGTCATCTATCCGCCATTGTACATGTCCTGGTCTCACGCAGTCACCCTTGACTAAACTGATGTGCAAGCTGACTCTAGGTCAGTTCGCTTACTTACTTTTTTTTTCACTGTAAGTGGCTTCCAGCTAGCTTGTCGCGTATTTAATTCGTTTCTCTTACCTCTCTCTTCCAACTGGCAGGCCATCAGACATCATGACTAGTTGTCACAGTTTTCTGTGTGACAACATGCCACTTAGAAAAGCGGAGATTGTGTTCGTAACGAAGCAGATTGGTTTCGTCATCTATTCGCACCATGTTTATATATCTGGATGTAATCCTGTACCCTAGCTACAGATATGGTACTTCAAGAAGTCAGTGTAAATTCGCACGGTGTGAATGTTTGCAATCCGAGCTTCGTGGGACACCGAGTGATCAGCTCTAACGAATGGGAGGAGTTTCCTCCCCATGCGTGGACGGACCTCAGATTGTCTGTCATTTTAGTCATTCACTAATGACATCTGACAACTTTCGGGGCGTTTGTAGATATCCTATCTTGTTGTTGTTTACACTTCATTCATGCTATTAATCTATGATTGTCATTTCTTCAGATTTGATTTCTCAGTCTTTTCAGTCACACAAGTCGGAGACTGTGGCGAACGGCAGATTTTTGGTAACTCATTTAGCATCATTGACGCACGTCAAGAACATTGAGGAGAGCGTGGAATGGAGTGGACGTAGAAGTTTTCTCAAACCCCTTGCATCGCCCAAGGTAGCTATCGGAGAGCAAACTTGCTTTGCAGCTTAAGACGGATTGATGAGACAAGTTGTCATTAGAGACCAAGGTCTGACCTTGCGCGCGAAGTGGTCTGGATGTTCGAAGGGTACCTGATCAGAAATTTGAATCAAACTCAGTGCAGTGCGGTCCAGACACGCGATTAGAATGTTTGTCGGCTACAATTACAGACATTCGATTCCTGGACCAATGAATCTAAAAGTGCGCGATTTATCATTCGAGTTTTAGAAAGTTCTACAAATTGATGACACTGAGGATTGTAAGTTTGATTAACGGAAGATGGATATATACAACTTTGGAGATACTTCTGGTACTTTGACATCACCCTTTTGTGATCTTTTGTTATTCAATTTATATGGATTATTGTGTGATTTCAACTGCCAACGCGCGATGTTCCATGCGCTGTGCGTCGCTTCAATCCCTGCCATGTTTCCTTTGAGTCTCCGTATAGATGAGGGAATCTTCTCCGACCACAGCCTCTACATCGACAGCTATCCTGCTGTTATGAGCCGTATCACATTGGCCATTATGGCAATCAATGGATGCTTTACAAGGACGATCTGCGCGACGTTTTGTTGGTCCAGTTATTTGAGTACATCAACTGCTCTGATGGTGGTAGAGTGATGTCAGCAACGGCTCGATTATGTCGCTACTGAAATGAACGAATAGGCAGACGCTTCTTTACATGATGTGTATTTATCGCTGAAGAGTGAAAGAGATGGAATTTGTCTTTCAAGGAGAAAACGACAACGGATGGGAAGATATGGGGCTAAATCCCTCGATTGATAGTTGTGTTAGGCCGATCTCTTTTTCAGAGTGGACGGGTGAGGAACTGAAATCGACGAGTGCGAAATTTTCGACGTCCAGCAGCCACCATGTTGAATGTCATCTACAAACTGACGATCATATTGTAATCCTTTGACTGTCGTTCGGAAACTAACGAAATGAAACCACTTCAAGTCCAACCATCCACCAATGTGCTGATGATTCGAAATCTTCTTTACATCACTCCATGCCAGACAGGAGCTCGTGAGAGGAAGAAGCACAGGTGGACATTAGGTGGATGTGGAGATTTGATTCGTGCACGGATTTTGGGGTCATGGTAGAACCATCTTCACACTTTACGGTTCATATTGGTCACCGTCCTAAAACCAGCTCACATGTCATACGTAAACGATAGCCATGGTGTGTCCGAGTACTGATGTAGATAACGTAACCACTGGGCAAGCGTCATGTTTCAGTCTGTTCCAGGACGTAAGTCGAAAGGAGATGGAGATCACATGAGACGTCTATCAACGCACATAACAGTTGAATGTCGTAATGTCACAGCAGCTCGTCGAAATATCCTGAACCCATTGTCACATTGATAAATACTACATCTACGTTTATAGATAAGAAGTAACAAGATTGAAAGTACGAATAATCCATGTGTTGGCGAACTGAAACTTCAACTTGTAGTCAATCGAATCCGACGACAACCGTCTTACGGATGTGATCCACGAAATGAAAGGGAAGGGTTTAAACGATCTTTCAGAGGGCTGCGATACATACATTCACTTTCAAATTTGTCGGAAGGAAAGCGAGTTGATGAGCATTTACTCAAACTCAGGAGAGAATCTAATCTACTTCACATGACTGCTGATCTGAAACATAGAGCATAGCTTCCTACTGGTGTTAACTCTCAGCAATACATTAGGAAAAATCCAAGTACAAGTAGCGTCGCTTTGACTGTTGATTTCCTAGATCAGGAAGTGTCTCACGTGGGGGGGGGAGGGGAGAGAGAGAGAGAGAGAGAGAGAGAGAGATAGAGTAGACACTGAGATCTATTACTACTATTTTGCAGCCGTGGTATCTGCAGCATCCTATCTTGTTAATGTCAAAAGGAGGTGACCGTTCAAGATCAAAATTCAATTTACAAGATGATGTCAATCCTTTTGAAAGAAATCTTAGAAGAAGATCATTTCTTGTAAGCTGTATCTGGGCTTAGACAATAAGCGACCCACCTTTATCTTATTGTCTACGCTGTTGAGTACTTCTATGTGTTCCTCTTCTGCAGCAGATATAGTCGAGATTCGCTGGTGGAATGGAACAGGTTTCGTCAATGTGAGGTATGTCAATTCACCTCCTTCTGGATCAGCCACATCAGAACTTTCGAGATAGCTTCGCTGTCAGTTGAATTATGAAGTAGAAAATGGAGAATTGTCTGAATTTATTATCTCTATCAACTGACCGGTCCAAAAGTCGCAGGATTACAGAAAATGGTAAGACTTTGCATTTCACAGTTAGTTCTCAGGAAATGTTGTTTGGTCTGCATTACTATCTGAACAACATTCTCGGCACGTCACAAATCTCTTCATGAATCGATGGTATTGAGTCTCCCAACACAGGTGAGAGCCGCTGTGGTTGATAAATCAACACTCAAATTGCTCATACACTCAATCGGTTGATTTTGCTTCTCGATGCGGCCAATTTCATTTGCCCAGCTGGTAACCAATTGCATGTAAACATGTTCTTTTGTGGTTATGATAACCCTCTAACCTGCTAGGATTAGGAGGAGTAGCTATTACAGCTAATTATAATTATCATTTGCCTGAGTTTTGATAGACAATCTCTCTCAACTTAGACGCGCGTGGTATGAGATGCTAAGTATGGAGTATGGAGTGAATGACGTGGGGTGGCTGAAAATTACAAAAAAACATCTCCGTGATAGTTTTCAAATTGTGAGTTACTCAGATTCAGCTCTCTTGGACAATGTTCAACTGAGTGAAGTTCGTTATGCGTTTCATTTTTACTACACCTTTCCTACGAATCTTAGGTGCAGCGTCTGTTTAGATGTGCTGAGATAGCAAGTTGCTTCATGAATCTGCCTTGTATCTGGACAATTGCTGTATGTGTCCCAAATTTTCTTTCACACGTCTCCCCAAAGAGATTGTAAACTTGCCAGACTCTTCACTATGTAGAGAGTATGTCACCAGTCGTATACGTGGGTTTTCTTGTCTTGCTTCGCGTTCACTTCAGCTTGTCTCTAACTGATGTTTCTATACGCTTATATATCGAAGTTCTCCACGACTCTAGTCATAGATATCCCTTCTCCGAGGCGGGAAATGCACGCGTTTCTAAACGACTTCAATGCAGGGTACAATTCTAACCAACTTGATTTCAAACAAAGTACATATTTTTCATGCTGGAGACCTTGATGCCAAAGTCTACGAGGTCGAGGTTTCCGTTGCCAATGTGTTTTATCACCAAAAATTGATCGTGATTTTCCCAATCTGCAATAGTAGGATAACTATTAGTGTTATTTGCTGCGAGAAATAAATCACAGGCTTTAGACTAGGCTAGGTTGTTAGACATGTGTGGCAGCATTGATGCTTCTATGCTTCTGGCATGGCCTTCAGAATCTTGGTTGTCATCAGAATAACTGGTCCCTTGGAATTTTCCCTAGTCTTGAGTTACCTCGTTACCCAAACCGGCACCGTGAACAGCCCAGACCCACAGGCATAGAAACTAAGGTGGGCTCGAATCGTCAAGTTCCCAGTCTGCACATTGTTCAATGCTGTACATTTACTTTCTTATGTACACTCCGTGTGCCTCGGCTGGAATACACGTTTCAGAAAGAAGCAGGTATAATTTCTGTTGTATTGTGGACTAATTGTAGTTTGTAGTTTGTAGTTTAGTTGGGCAATTCTCCTTCTCAGGTACTGTACTGACCTCCAGTCATAGGCTTGATGAGCAAGAGGGCGAGAGATTGCAGCGACCGGCTGTGTTCTTTATCATAGGTCGCACCATACCTAAGCGGTGCGTAGGAAAGGGGCTGGGACTGTAGAGTAAACCTCGGTGCAGCAGCACTGGAAGAACCTGAAGAGTCGAGTCCTTGATGGATTGAGCACTACAGGTAGTCAGTGAGTTGCGTAGAGCACACAAGCGACAAAGGTCTGCTCGGTTGCTTGAGTGGCTGAGTTGTCCCTGTCGAGAGAACTCAACACGCCCAGCCCGTTCTTTCTACAGACTGGCTGTCAAAAGGTCTTCACCGTCGTGCTAAATGTAGGCGGCAAGGGAAAGCAGTGAGGCCAAGGCAAGGCAAGGCAAGGAGAATGCAAATGTAGGTAGGGTGCCCGTTTGTCGTGATCAGACCTTGAAGCCTACAATAAGTAGCTGAAGGCAGGCTGGAAGGAAAGAAGATCTGGACCAAGTACGATCCACATCAGGTTTTGAATCTCGTTATATCTTTGACTGGGGCAGCTATTGTCGACCATTTATTTCTCTCCCTGGGCAAGCCATGTCTTGTTTGGCTAGCCGTCTGAGGACCAAGGTAGACCTATAACAGGATTGAATGATGATGGCTGGGAGGAAAGAAGAATAAGCAATCAACCAGGCAACCTCTGATGCCTCTCGGGGCTGGGCGGGCTGGGCGGGCTGGGCCTTGAAAAAGATGTAGGCCAACAGTGTTGCTCATGATGGATCTTGAGTGTGTGAAGTCATCGCTCAGCATGTGAAAGGCTGCAGTACTTGCAAGGCAGCTAGCCACAGTGGAGTGGCTGTAGAATGTCTTTGTCCGAAATATCCTGCGAGTGAGCGAATATCTTTCATAGGCACTGTTCGGCAGGGGACTTATGACGTTATATTGAAGAGAGTCACTTGATGATGGTGGGTATGGGATGCCTACAAACCCGCACTACTTCCATCGCTACGCGATGTACAGCAGTAGTATATTTCGCATGTTGCGAATCCCCGAGTTGGTACAATTCAGCATCTGTTCATCACATTGAGTTGTGCATGTTGAGAGCACTACACTAGTTGGTGGATGTCGTAAGGAGCAGGCATAGGAAGACAGTTGGACCTCAGGCCCTCAGCATCGTCACTGACAGATGAAAGTTTGCAAAAGTGTGAGTACTCGAGCACCCTTCACCCATACACCATACATTCCTTCCTTCGTACCAGAGGTTTTCCAATTGGATCCGATCAAGTAGATTTTGCTGCCGTGTCAGTCAGGAGTACATCATAATGTATGCCTGTATGGAGCTCACGATATGCTAAGTGTACATCATCATCTGTTTGACGATGAAACCGAATAGACGGCAAGTACAACTACTATTTTCTTTCTGTATTGCTTCTGCCGTATAGATTACAGGCCCCGGAATTCCCTTTCCTTGCGAATTTTACCTGGACCACTACTCATGCCTGCGCATGCCGATTATTAGTCTCTCTCTCTCTCTTTCTCTCTCTCTCTCTGGGACCAGGTGCTGGGCAGTGAGCTCCTCAATACTAGCTCGAACTGCAGTCTTCCATGTCCTGTACCTAGGACGATATCTGAGTATCATGATTGCATACCTGTCAGCTCCGGCCATTGATACGATGCATACTATAACGAACACGAATGTATACACCGCCCGTCGCCGACGACATACGATGTGCTAGAAACAGATTTTGCTAGAATCATAGAGGACTACAAATTAGGTCCAGTGGAGGAGACAAAACATGACAGAATGTACCAGCGATTAACTGGTCTAAGCATGTAGCTTTGACCTTGAACTTTAGACCAACGTACGTGCCCAGAGTCAATTATTTTTGTGCTTTGGGATAGAAAAGAGGAAATCAGAACAAAATGATGCACACATTCATCATTCAGCCAGTCTAGTTACTTATCATCTTTCACTCAGGAGGTCGGATCCATGATGACTCTACTTTAGGACGACCTGGTTGGCCGGTGTACACAAAACCATCCATCCATCCATATATCCATCCATCTCTTTCGCTAGTTCTAGTGTATATCTTTGCTGGTCGGTCGGTCTCTCTTCTCTGTCTCATACACGGCAGTTTGGCGTCGATCCTCTACTTCATGTATGTGGCTGGCTGGCGCTCGTGCGCTCGCCGTAGCACCTCTTAATCTAGTTAGTTTGGTCGTTCCGTTGAGGCTTGCGGAGACCACGTGGGTTCTTCGTCCCCTCAGTCCTCTTCCTCTTCTTCTTCGTGACCACGATCACCGTAATCTCATATTCCTCCTCCTCTTAGCAACCCCGTATGTACACGCACTAGATCTATAGGCAACAGCATTTCTTCCTTCTCTCGGGTAGACTTGTACTTTAAGTAGAGACACTTGAACCTCCTCGTCCTGCTGATGCCTGCTGCTGCACTAACCACCGGTAGCAGTGAATTTGAGGCTCGACATGCGTGACATCTCCATAGGTCCCTCCCTGGTCGGTAATGGTCGGAGTGAGAGGTGAACGTTCTTCCTTTCCTCTGTACAGCAGCGGCTCTTACCGATCGCATGAAGAGAACAGGACAGTCGCCTCTCCCTCTCTCACCCGCATTCAGTCCTGTAATAGGAGTAGAAGGCTCGGAAGCGCTAAACCCGACCAACCTGCTCACCGTATGCAGGCTCTCTCTCTCTCTCTCTCTCTCTGTGTCGGTCTTCGAGAGTATCCTCGTGACCCCACAAGACAGTGAGATATATACCTTCCATCGCTTGCAAACGCCGAGACCGGTCTTTTGTCATTCACACACTCCAGCAGTTAAGAGCGTCTTTATCATCCGTACCAGTAGGGGCATTGAATAATGACAGAGTCGTCTCAACCATCCTTCTCCTGAATCTCCTCTCGTGCCTGTGTCAGCCCAGCCCCACCTGCTCACATTACCATTACATTGCTCAATCAACTCAAGTCGTCTCGCCTCATCTCATATCCTGATTCTCCCTCTCTTCCCGGCTTGTCTCCTGTACTACTTACTCTCTCGTCTCCTCTCATCTGGTCGCAGAGCGGGGACGAAGCACAAGCACTTGCAGTTGCATCGGCATGGCAGTGGCTGCAGCCAGAGGAGGCAGGGAGCAGGAGCAGGGGCACACTTGGCGCAATATTCCCTCAGGTCGGCCGTCCGTCCGTCGATCTGATCTGTTCTGTCCGTCGTATCATGGCGATTCTCCGTAGCAACATAAGAGGGAGCCATGTTGGTGTTGGATTCGCGGAATCGTCTGGTGGCGATGCCATGTGGCCGGGGGGCTGGGAGCGCGGATCGTGATGAGGACTTGTCGCTGGCGTGCGTGCCATGTGTGTCTAACGTCAAGGGGCACTGGCTTCGGTTTGTCATATTTATCCATAGAGTAAGTGCGCCATCCATGGTCGATCCGTGGGTATCAATGCTACAACTATGTGCTCATAAACGAGACATTAATATCATGTCCTCCATTTGCTCCCAGTCTCATGGTGTCGCTGACTTTCTGTCACCCGGTGGTACCGGTACCCCGTGCAGTTCTCTGAACTCCCTCCTTCCTTCCCTCCCTAGCTCCCTCTACGCTACGCCACTCTCCAGAGTCTGCCCGATACCGTAGTCGACAATCTCTAAATGTTACCCCTTTGTGAGTCGCCTTCCTCGTTGCAGTAATGGAGGTGTGGCATTTATCTAGCATTTTCAGAAGAGCTTTTGTACTTAGCTAACGGTAAAGAAGCTCGAATTATCTGAGACTTTTGTAAGTGAAATTTCGCTTAACATTTGCTCTCACTCGAGCATTCACGAAAACATCCTCTTCCTAAATACTTGCACTCGACAAATTGTCCAAGGTAACCTCCGGAGTGAGAGGATTAACTTATCACCGTATAGTGCAATTTGTGCAGATCAGTGCAGTTCTTCGTGAGTAACACCCGGGATTGCTCTTGTGCCGGTTGCAATAAGAGAGAGTAGAGACCATAGAGGGGGGATTTCCTACTCGGTGGTGGTCCAGTGGTCCCTTCCTGCCTTCCAGTTTCCTTGAGTTGCACACTTTGCACTCTTTCTCTCACTTCTCTCTATGTGAGTGAATGAGTGAGTGAGTCTGTCTGGACGTTGGGTGCTCCTGTCATCATGAGCTGGCCATTTCCTTCCTCGTCGCTTTAGAGAGAATCATGTTTCGGCTGAACATTCCTAGCTATGGATCGATCCGCCTATGGACCGTGGACGGAGCGATTCCCGAATCCTCCCTCATCTTTGGCCCACCCATCGTCTTTGACTCGATCGGGTGGGTCAAGAAATATGTTCCTCAGCATTTGACTATCAATAAGTAAACGCTTCAATCCATTCATTTTTGTACCGTTCTAGGCCCCAGCCCCAGACCGCCATTATGTTCTTCAATGCGAATACGGCACACTCGCCTATAATTTACCACTCAATGGTTTATCTTTTCCCTTTTCCTTTCATCATTTGGACCTTTCTACGATACGAGTCTTTGAAAGTTGGTCTCCATCTCTATGACAATGATTTTCCTACACAGTACGTGGAATCTTGTGCCTTTTACCATCACTTTGGTTCCGGTGCTCGGTTTCACCCTTCGGCACCCGAATATTGATTCCGACTGTAATACTACAGCAGTTATTATTGACCCTTCCCTCTCAGGCCTCCTCCAGTCAGAAATTCAGAATGTACTTGCAACAACCCTTTGCAATTTATTTTAGGACACTCCGAGGAACCAGGACTGTAATATATGCTAAATCCACTGACTTGATGATCTATCCCAGCACCGAGAAAATGTATGTCTGTAGGACACATCACTTTTATGATTGAACATCGTTCACTTGTGGGTTGAAACGAGCTCTTTCAAATCTGGGATTGCATCCAAATATGATTGCTTACCCAGCTCGCCCATTCGCCCTCTACAGATGACCTTCAGAATCATGGGTATTGTTACATATGTCATATCAATCACAAGTTCGTCACACCATGAAGTGGTGTGTCCTATTTTGAAGCTCATGCAGATCTTTTCTTTCTCTACTTGGCCACGGTTCCCTCTTGTATACACATTCAAAACTAGGAACATCTGAAATATCGTTTGATGTGCATTCATATGTAGAGAGTCTAGTGCAACTCTTTCAAGCTTCATATATTGTGTAGGATGCTTCTACCTTTCACATTTGTTTTGACAAAACTGAGTCAGTTTTCAAAATGTTTCAGAAACCTTCGTCGAAATAGATGCAGAAATGCAGGAATAAATATCTTGAAGTATGACGCTAATTGAGCATAACCCCATCTACTCCCCCGGTTTCATGACAATAGGACTTCAAGCTCTTCCCATCCTCTTTGCTATATCACTTGGTATCTCCATTGTTGCGCAACCCAACTCTCAAGCATCGCCTCATTACTCAGTTCGATTGCATAATTCACCTCTCCCAGGTATTTCTGCGAGTTCAGATCATAGTGAAACTCTCTAAAATTGTCAGAGTCCGCAATCTTGGAGGAATGATATGGTATGTCGCGTCACCCATCTTCATGTCATGATTGAAAGAGATGTCTGATTAGATTGAAAAGCCTAGTCCTTGCACACAGAGATCCAGTCCAAAGTGGACAGGGTACTAATAGGAATAATAAAATTTTATACACTTTCTCTGCAAGGTAGCATACTGGCCACTGTTGCAGCCATTAATAGGGTCTCATTGATAATACACTTTTCGTCTTAAGATTTCCTATTTATTCAGTTTGTGCCATAAATACAAATCACATGTTATAAGCTTTTCATTCCAAACGTAATGCGAATTTCGCTAGAGCCATGATTACTCATCATTGATCATAGACTGCAGTATTTGTCTCCTTCACTTGTCAAGCATCTTTTGTATCCATGTTGCTCCTGCTGCATATCAACATCATTTGATGATGCCTCTTTCCAGGATAAAAGTGATTTCCTCCTCCTATACATTTCGCGCAGAAGTGTTCCAGATGAGATATGGAAATACTTTGAAATCCAACAGGGCCGACCCAAATCAGAGTGCGATTCTTATCAATGTCAGGAGAAGCGAAACCCCAGCTTTACTTTTACAGCACAGCCGAATCATAACATTTCAGAGAGCGAGCAGTCCAGCCTTCTCCAAACTCTTCTTTAAAACTTGATGCCGCTACACCGGCGATGAATGTAGCCACAGTTCCGTCTGCCCCAACAGGTACTCAATCTCCCTCAAACCGTGCCATCATAAAACAAGGCCAGTATAGCAAACAGTATGTTCTTACTTTAGAAGGGGATTCCAACGAGGCGATTCCAACAGAAGAAGGCCATGGCCCACACATTTCCAAAAGTAACTCTAAACTAGAAAGAAGAAAGGGCCAAGTGGATAGCAAAAAGACGGGAAGACCCCGTCAAATCCTAGGCCCCCATAGTATCATTTCAGAAATATGACCTCTAGCACCTACAACTCAAAACTCCACAAAGAATGAGAACACGAAACACGCTACCAAACCCTCACGTAGAGCAAATCACTGCGAGGCCCAGTTCATCACTCTTCATCCAATGTATCAAGAACTACGCCATATAAAATCTCCGCAGGAGGATACCGCCATACCCAAACCCAGAAATATTCCTGCAGATTTAGCACCAGAGGAGGACGAGAACGTCGAGGAAAAGAGAGAAGAAACCAACGAGGATCTTCTGATTGCCTTCCGCGCAAATCCTACCATTCACTACATGGACAAGATCGTGCACAAGAAAGACCAACAATTGGTACTGAACACGGGATGCTGGAGGCAGGAACGGACCAAGTTTAGATCTAAGCCGAAGAAGTACTTGTTGGAAGTTCATGCACCGGAGATTTTTGAGGTAAGGTGCTTTCCAAATCGGCATACTTGACTGTCACACATCACTTGCATAGTAGAAGCCGATGATGAGATGAGATACGTTCACAAGAGAGAGCCACGAACGCTAATGAAACGTCCCTTTCCAAATCTCGACAGAGAGATCTCACTCGGCTGTCAGCACTCTGTACTCGATGTTACGATGCATCAGTTGGCCTTGGAATCTCATCGATATGTAACAGTGAACCAATCCATACGCTAGTTCTAGTTTCTCAGTTGATCTTTTCATTAAATTTGGACCGTAGGCTCACATCTTCCATGAGCATTTTTCGGCCATTTCTATTTCATCTACTCTCGCTTTTTCTGCCATGGATCTTTTGGCAGGATAAACATGGAGTACCTTGTCGATTGTGCATGGAGAGGCAAAACCGTGTCGAGGAGTTGTTTCAGGACACAGAATACACAGGACGATCCCATTACCAGTCACATGAACCATCTCATCATGTATGTTCCGTCATGGTTATAATAGTCATTCTCTTACCGTATTTAACTACGGTTAATTTAGTCTCCTCGCAAAAATTAATTTAATCTTCTCTAAAACATTAATTTAGTCTCCTTGAAAAGTTAATTTAGTTTATTTAAAAGTAAGTTTATATCATTTTAATTTTAAAAAATTTAATTTAGCCTAATTTAGTCTACAAAAAAATTTTCCCCAAAACATTTAAATTTTTTTATTTTAATCTAAAATATTTAAATGAAAAAAATACATAAATTTTGTATAGATATCAACTTTCCACTGGTAGGCACCAAATCACAAACATTTTAATTTAGGCGATTTATCAACAGAAAGTTTAGTTAATTTAAGCGACCTGATATATAGGATCGCCTAATACAAACATGCCTGGGAATGCTGCATACCTGATGACATGGTTCATACAAACTTGCATACCGTATGCAAATTTGTCGAATCAATTCTACGTGACAAATTGAGGCCAACAGATTGTTCCTACGATCTTGTAGACTTCGAGAAGATGCACGCTTTGGAGACCAGTTGCGATCAGGTTTTATTTGCTGCATTGACTTTTACATTAAATCGCATACACCAAAGAACGAGCTATGAAGGCCACATAGGATCAAAGTCTTAGAATCCCTCGACTTTGTTGATCTTGTCACTAGACGAAGCATTTCTTTGGTTGCGATTGCCACATGGACACGGAGACAAATAGAACAGCGTGCGCTTGGCCAGCAAAGGATTGGAAAGATCAACTGAAACAAACGAGTCATCATAGCACGTTTTGATTGCAAAGTATAAGATTTTTGACTTGCCATTTCCATCTTGCTAATTTGGTATGTTGACCTTGCAGCTTCTAGTTACAACAATTCACAAGATGACTTTGATTACCACCAAAGAATCAAAAATCTATAGAAATCACGTGGAAAAACACCTCTCTACCTATCAATAAGAGTCGGCCTTCTTACCGGATGTATGACAGTATCAGTATGACTGTTAGTTTTGCTCAATGATAAAGATTGTCTAGAATACGAATGAAGATAAGAACATCATTATGCTGATGAGAGAGATAGTCAAATTAAAATGAAGATGATGAGAGACGGAGATGCTTCCGTTTCAAGGCGGCTTTCCATTCAGATTAGGGCATGTGACGTGTGATATCTTGCCAAGACAAAAATGATATTATTGATAAAATCCGTCCCACTTACATTTGTGATCGACGTTCACTGAATTTATTCCAATCATTTCCAAATATGTTTATGTGGTAGTATTGTTTTTTTCAAAAATATTGTAGTTTGGAAAGTAAGATTAGCAACTTTAAACTTTTAGAGCAATAGTACTAAGAAGAGGAATAATTATGGAATTTTGGAATAGATTCTGAGTAGCAGTAGAGAATAGGCAGGATTCCAATAGATAGAGCTCAATGTGCTCGTTCAAACGAGACCAAGAACGTGAGCAATTAACAAGTGAAACCTGAGCTACGAAGGGATGAAATTCAAATTCCGACACCTTCAATTTGCACGAGTTTGCAATGCCATTGTGGTGGCGGATTACACCAAGAAAAGCGCGAGCTCATCTCCCACATTTCACAAGAGCTCAGTTGCAAATTGAGAGACAAACGAGGTGCGTGAGTGCAAAATTGCAGAAGCAGCCATGGAATGAGCTGGAGTAATTCGATTTACAGCTCTGAAGATGCCTGAAGTCGGATTGAGGGCCTATCATAACGAATTGATTCTCGCCAAACTTGATTTCTTGCGGTGGGATTGAAATTGAGTCTGTGCGGCGATGGTTCAAGAGTGTAGTGACAAGAGCGCGTCGGATGCTGATGGACTTCAAGGCAATCTCGCACTTTGGCAAATTTGAGATTGGGAGAAAGTCCTTGGTCAGTGCGCAGGAGAAACAAAAACCTCACTTTTGACAGTGAGAGTGTCAAGGTGACACGGACAGAAGAGAAGATGTACGCTGCCCTATTTAAGAAACCGTGCACGGACAAGAATGGGTACCGGACGACATGGTATCGAGACCGACTGCGAAGGAATGTAGCAGTAGCTCTGATGAAGATCTTTTGATCTTCCCAA